GTCATCGGGGTGGATGTCGAATGCATGATAGGCAGAGATGAAGTCTAGCGTTGAAAAGAATTTCGCGCCGGCAAGAGAATCAATCATGTCCTCCACCTTCGGGATAGGGTAGTGTTCCTTGACGGTGGCACTGTTTAGTCTACGAAAATCAACACAATAACGGTATGAGCCATCCTTTTTAGAAGCTAAGACGACTTGGGCACTCCAAGGACTGGTAGAGGGTTCTAAGTGCACATCTTACATATGTTTCATATGTTTGTTGTTGTTTGATTTATCATCTACGGGTTTATGTCGAATTAATTTGATGGCCTGCTCCCAGTTGGCTTGTTAGCTCAATTGGTAGAGCGCTGCACTAGTATCGCAGAGGTCAGTGGTTCGAATCCCGTACAGGCCTGAAACTTTTTTCAGGTCTGATTTTCACTATTGCTCAAATAGTGCTTTACTGCGAAGGATCGTGCACATATACGTTCTCAAGTTTTGGTTGCCAATCATCCACTTCAGTATCATTGCCGAAAACAACACCTAAGATTTTCATTTTGGTTAGCCATCTGAGGCCATATGGTTGGTCGCTCCGTGTACGCCATGCGCCCAACCACATGGTCTCCGTTTGGCAACATCTAGGCGCGCTCCAGAACCGCGTTCATAGATACTAATGGTATCAAAGAAAGATGCCAACGAACAAGTGGATTTAACAATACAGGTCGTATCATCAGCATATATCCTAACTTTATATCTTATTCCGTGTGCACCGGGTAAGAGAAAGCCTTCTATGGCGGGATTGTTCCGGACTTTGCAGGCGAGAGTTTCAACACTTAAAATATACAACAAGAGGGATAAGGAGTCCCCCTGTCTCCCACCGCGAGACAAAGGTATCACCTCAGTTAACCATTCATTAACAATGATTTACATGTTAGCACCATTATATGAGAAGACACACAGGGCTTGCACTGTAAGTGTCTCGGAGAGCTCCATACAATTCCTTATAGCAGAGCCCCATACCCATGGAATATGGTCAACCTCTTTTCGTTTGGTTATCACCTGACTGACCGAGTGTTCGTATGTACGTACGTACGTGCCCTCTGTCATGTATTGTATCACGAAAGTACTATATTGAAATATGGCGTCCGCGCGGCCGACCCTCAAAATTTTTTGAGGTCGGATTTTTCGTTCTTTTCCGATCGAGTTAGACCTCGTGGAACTCAGAATGTAAAGTAAAAATGCTATAGAATACTCTGCTTGGAAAAGAATGGATCTCAAGGTCTTAAAGGTGACAGAATAAGCTCTTAAGTCAAAGACCCTACGATTCTCCAAGGCGATGCGAACTATGGACGTAAAGTAAAAACCGAACTTTCGGACTTCAAGCAGGGCCTGGAGACAATTTGACGATTCGATAACCCGGTAAATATTCTGTTCGAGTAACAATGTGTTCAAAGAGTATTGTCTAATAGAAGATTTTGGGTCAAATTGAAGATTTTTCATTATTTTCAACATAACGCTGCATAATTTCTGGCCTTGAAGGCAAGTAAACAACAATCTAAGTAAGTATAATGAATTTTATCGCGAGGGCTTTGTACACGTGAGAAATTTGTACGTTTTTTGCTTATAACAGCAAATCAAAAACTATTTTGAATAAATCTGTCGTCTTGCTTCCATGCAACTTGAGATCTCTTCACTCACGGACAAATTCGCATATTCCATTTTGAAATATGATCCACATGCCATTTGCACACATGCGAAAATATTTAGCGATTTTTACCTTTCATCTTGATTTTTGAGTTAAAACGTAATATGCACCTATCGCTTTTTTCGTCGGAAATAAGTTCTTCAATTAGTTTTCTTTCGCTGGGGCTTGTTCTTTGGGAAAGACGATTTTTAAAAATCTACTATGCATTGTGTTTGTTTTCTTGGTTTCTCCAAAATTTTGACTTTTCACAGGCACGTGTTACACGTAAGTGTCAATGGGTTTAGTCTATACTGAATGAATTTTTGGCTAAAAATTTTTAATACATGCAAAGAAATTTTATTGAAAAAATTTCACTTACTGGGAGCTCCGCCTTTAGGCTTGGCTAAATCTATATATTAATTTTATTAGAAGGAATTGTATGGAGCTTTTATAGCATTAGTCGTGGCGCGGCGGGTGTTGTCACGTATGATCCTCGCAAGGATCATACGTGACAACACCCGCCGCGCCAAAACTCACGCTAACAAAGCTCCATACAATTTCTTATAATAAAATTATAAGGAATTGACTGGAGCTCTCCGAGATACTTACAGTGCAAGCCCTGTGTGTCTTCTCATTGTGCTAACCCAGTGGCGGAAAGATGAACCAAAACCAAAGCGGTTTAAAGGCACATTTCCAACCGAGATGCCTTGCGCGCCCGGATCATTTTTCATATATGAAAAATACGCTATTTTCCTCGTAGTTGCGGAATCACTTTGATATCTTCTACCATCTTACTAATTAGGGCTTTCAAAGTTCCATCTTGAATCATGTGCGAACAACAAACTATCGTAGTATCCATATCAGTAAATAGTTTTTAATTCTAACATGTATGACGGTGAAAAACGTCATTTGAAAAGTTGATGCCGCCGAAGAAGCGGTCTAGAGGAAGACCGAGTCTGCCCGGCTCAGCAAAGGTTATTCGACTTCGAGAGTCTGTGTATGATTTATGGAGGGCAAGGAAAACAACCATGGGTTTCGGTAACACTACAGACAGTGCTTTTGCAGAAATGTTATTGCATTGTTCCTACGATGGAACTAGAGACTCCGGGGAGATTTTTTCGAGGTGAGAATAATTATTTGACTGATTTTTACTTGAGATCCTGAGATATGTATGTAAGCGATCTCATTTGTACAAGTCATTATTCTATAATTGAAATGCGTAAAGTAAATCAGTTTTGGCCAATATTGGTTATTTGTTTATATTTTATTTAGTGTTGAAGCCGAACAATTTCCTTCAACATCAAGTAAGCTTTGTACAAGTTTTATACACAGACTCGATTTATGATTTTTCAGTCTCAAATATTTAGCTGCAAATTTGTTTACTGTGTTCTTCACCAAATCTTTGTTTTTCTTTTTAATAGTGTTTGTGAATGACTATCAGAGTTCGCCATTTAACAATAGCGCGATTCCAAAACAAAAACAAACGACTGCAAAGGATCTCGGATGGAAATGGGCCTTTAAGAGATCCAATAAAAAGGTGCAACTAACCCGACCGAAGGTTTTCTCTGGATCGAGGCTGAGTGGAATGCCAGTTTCATTAGTTCGCTCAATATAGCCTGAAATATCCCGCATTAGGTATAAGTTTGACGTAATTTTCCGACCGGGCACAGAGTAGGTTTGACCAGGATCAACCATATACTGTAAAACTTTAAAGAGACGGAGAGAAAGAGACTTGGAGCATATCCTTTAATCAACATTTAGTAAAGAAATTGGTCTCCAATTTTTAAGATCTTTGCGATCCCCTTTTTTGAAAATGACTCGAGTATTACTAGTTTTCATAGACTCGCACATCTCTCCAGCTTGGGAACATGCATTAAAAACTTGGCACAGATATGGACCCAAACGGTCCAAGAACTTCGAGTAAATTTCGACCGAAAGGCCATCAGGACCGGGAGCTTTGTTTGTGTTCATTTTATTCAGAGTGACAGTAAATTTCCTCGAGCGTCAAGTCACTTTCACAAGAGGATGCCTGATCGGACGAGAGTTGACGAGACAAAGAAGATAAAAGATCAGTTTCCATTGAGACATCTACTGGCTCTTCAGAGAAGAGTCGAGAGTAAAAATCCACGTGCGCTTTCGCAATTTCCTCTCGAGGGAAAACCTCATTGCCGTCTGAATTGTACACTGAAGAGATGTGCGATTTTTGCGCTTTACTTCTCCGTAACTTAAAGAAAAACCGGGTGAGGCGTTCGCCCTCTTCTAATCATTTGGCACGACTACGAATCATAATTCCTTCTGCTCTTTTAGAACAGAGAGCTTTCAGGCGACTTTCTGTATTGGATATAAAATCGGAGACGGTTGCGTCACCATTAACTAGACGTTGCCGAAGTCGAATTAATTTATTAGTTAAGGAAACTTCGTCTCTATGTAACCGTCTCCGTTTCTTACGGGAAAAGGAGATCGCTTCTTCCTTAACGGATCGTTTTAGAAACTCCCACCAATCCTGGATACAAACGAAGGCAGGTAAGAAACGAATGTGATCACCGATTAAATTACCTATAGCGATGCAGAAATCTTTATCTTTCAAAGGGGAGTTGTTAAAATTCCATACACCAGGACCGCGTCTTATGCTATTAGGAACATAAAAACAAGGGAGACAAAATCATGATCAGAAAATGAACAAGGAAAGAGATCACACTTCGTCTCAGAGGAGAGCAAATCCTTAGAGACGAGAAATTTATCGAGTCTGCTCATAATTGTTGAGGTGGAATTGAACCACGTAAATTGTCTTTGATTAGGGTGCAATTTACGCCAGCCATCGATAAGAGTGGAAATACTTTTCAATGACTCGTAATCTTTATGAATAGAGACATTGCACCCAAATTTGTCTAAAGCGTTACCATAACAGTTTAAATCCCCACCAATGATAGTCGCCGAGGACGGAATTAAAAACTCAAGGAGAGAGTCGAAAAATAACTTTCCGTTCAGATGGATTGGTGAGAGCGTAAATATTGACTAAGTTCAAATCAACATCGTTGGTCCTGACCAGGATGCTGACTATACGACCGTGCGAGTCTTTCTTCCAAGATATGACTTCCTCTGAAATTCTAGGGGAAATCACGGTTGCCACTCCGCCTTGTCGGCCGATGGCAGGGGACCAAAAACTACGTCTCGGCCACCGATGAGACACGGCCTTGATCAGAGACCCAGAACTAATAAACGTCTCTTGTACAAAACAAAAATAACAAGACATCTTTTCAATTAATTCAAATAAATAGATGTGGGTGAGGGGATTCCCCATGCCCCTCGCATTGATAGTTAATAATTTGAAAGAGGTTTAGGAAGAAAGACTCGCTTCAGAAGAAACATTACAGGACTTACTTTGTTTTTCCGAGTTTCTGTTTTTTCCTTTTTTCTTTTCTGGGGTAGAGGTCTCTTTGCGAGACGGAGAGAGGTCGAAGGATTTTTGTTTCAGGTCGTGTATAGTTTCCCTGTCGTTTTCATGGGTGTGTAGAGAAGAGGTGGGTGTTGAGGTTGGAACAGGTATCGAAGAGCGAGGTTTTCCGGTGACAAGGGTAGGTGTAGTTGGTTTTCTAGAAAAGGCGAGAGATGATTCGGCGAGACTGGCAGCTGTACGGCGAGATGGCGGTTCAGCGGGTTTAGTTGAGGTAATAAGGCCTTGAGGGTCAAGGATCGGCGAATCAGACGAAATAGGTGGTGTTGGCGACAATTCAGAAGAGGCAGACAAAGGATCGGTAAGTTGGTCGAACGCAAGGTTTTCGTCAGTAGGTGGAGGGCCGTCGGTGGATGGTAGATTTTCGGGCGTAAGATTTTCGTCGGTGGATGGAAGATTTTCGGGCGTAAGATTGTCGTCGATGGATGGAAGATTCTCGGGGGTAAGATTTTCGTGGGTGGATGAAAGATATTCGAGCGTAAGATTTTCGTTACTGGATTTCCTGGGCGGAAGAGCGGAAGCAAGTGGAAGATTTTCATCAAATGATTGTTGGTTATCAGACGTGTCGACGTGTACGTCTTCCAATTCATCCGTTGCGGTGCCATGGACCGCTGGGGAGACCCATGAGTATTGGAAATTAACACCAGTGTCTTTTTTGCTTGCAAATACAACAAAGAGTTGGGCGTGGGCACTCCCGCGCTTCGTGTCCGTTAACATCGCAATTGAAGCATATTTTATTAGGGCAGACGTTACCAAAATGACCAGGGCAATTGCATTTACAGCAGGTAGGAACCTGGCTGTTGTACTTGATGAAGATTTGAAATTTGCCGAAGCGGAGAAAACTCAGGATGGGCTTGCACACACGAAGACGATACTGACGTAGGTCGTTATGGATGCTAGAGGCGTACGAATGTTTACCACGGCGGTAATGTAGCACTTCGCAGTAAGGTGACAGTCGTTTAGTTATAGCCAAATCTGACAGTTCAAACGGTGCATCGTAAATCGTCGGGAAAGTTAAGGGCTTGTTCACATCTTGAAGGGCGTAATTTTCCGAGTTGATGTGCAGGGAATTAAACGAAGGAAGTTTACCTTGGCAGTGATGGACTTAAAAGTAGCAACCATTTCGCCGTTGAGTTTTCTTTGCAAGCATTGGATGTCAGTCGGTTTGACCTTCGAAAATGCCAGCGCGTCGAATACAGAGCGGGCGGTCGTTAATTTGTTGGGAGTAAAGAAGGCGGTTTTCGGCCGCTGTGGCATGTTATTCTCTACAGGCCACACGTGTAGTTCTCTAGTTAGGTAACTCGTGCCAGAAGTAAGGGCAGCTCTTGATGCATATGATTCCCCATTGACAATAGACGAGTATTCGGCATTTTCATCCGCGGCGTTCAAAATATCCTCCACAATCCCCTCCAAATTCTCAGTAGATTCCATAATCAAAAAAGCAAATAAGGAAAGGCCCAAAACGGCAAACTAACCTCTAGTTTGAAGATTGGTATGGTAAACTAGAACCACGACCAACTTTGTTTTTTTTAAGCTTTGAAAAGGATTTATTTTCAACATTACAGAATTAAAGTGCCGACAGCACATGGGCTTGGCCCTAACTAAATACTAGTACGCGAAAGTATTCAAAGTCTGAAGATAAAGTTTATAGATCTAAAGTGAGTCGTAATTTAAACTAGGATAATTCTTACCTACAAGTAAAGATAACTCTAAGTTGAACTAACAAAAAAAGGCGTAAATTGCTAGAAGTAATGATACAATTAAAAATAGTCTTATATTAATACAACTCCTAAGATAGTTCTAAGCTACAAATAATTGTAATTCAAATAAGGCTAACATTAATCTAACTAAGGAAAGATAGAACTAGAGATAATTTAAAGAAACCTAAAAGGAACTTACCTACTATTAGACAATTAATCTATTTATTAAATTAGTTACTAAATCAACTGTTAATTATTTACACGAGAATTTTAATAGTAGTATTGCCTACTTGACACAGTGCTGGTGCTTCCTAAAAACTTTTAAAATCAGATAAACAGAGACGAAAGTGGTCACAGAGAATTCTCTTCTTGATGTCATTGAGGATATAACGGATTATGCCCTCATGATTTTCCTTGCCATTGCGAAAAGTAGCATTATTACGAAAATTCCAACTGCCATACAAGATCGTTTCGATAAGAAAACGGGCTAATCGCGCATTTTTTGGGCTACCTGGAACCCACTGAAAAAAGAAAACAGAAGTATAAGAGGGGAAGTAATTACCAAGGAGAGAGGAGATCACAGGAGAAAAAGTACGACACACTATTTTAATACGGGAACAATTAAAAAAACTTTATAAATTGTTTCTTTTCGAGAGCAGTAGGCACATTTATCAGAATCAATATAGCCCCGATGTTTTAGGGAATCGCGGACTCAATTGGCCCGAAGGATAATTGACCACAGCACATCGTTCTTGTGGTTTTCAGAAAAGTCATCTCGAACCAGTTTCCAGAGATTGTCAAGTATGAAGTCGATAGGAAGAAAGGGGAGCCAAAAGCGGTGAAGAATCGGAGAAGCAGATTTCTCTCTTAACAGGGCCTGATAGCATTTCTTAGAGGTAAAATCAAAGTCTTGCCACTCTTTGCGGGCCACAATCCCGCGAAGAGTGGTAAGTGCCGTAAAACATTTCCCGTAATATGGTGTGGAGTCATGCGAACTCGGAGTGGAATTTTCGCGAAGAGAATGCCACTCCGGCCAAAAAGAAGCAAGCCTAAACCCTAGTAAGTATTTGATTAGGTAAAAGGACTTTGATTCGGGGTCAGAGAGATTAGACACTAGAGAGGCTAGCTTTAAGGAGTCACCTTTGATTTGGAAATTGAAAATTCCGAGACCACCTTTGTTAAAACTCTGGTGAAAGGTCACTCGACTTATTGTCTTAATACGAGAGCTCCTAACAAAAGGCCAAATTAGCGAATTTACTTTTCAAATAACCATCAAGAGACGCACAGAACCGAAGACAGATAGAGTAATTTTACTGATTTCGTAGACATTGACCAAAAGACATTTGCCAACGAGTGAGAGAGAACGAGATTTGCAGAGATTGGGATGTTTTTCCAGCTTCTCAAGTTTTTGGTTGCCAATTAACCACTTCAGTATCATTGCCGAAAACAACTCCTAAGATTTTCAGTTTGGTCAACCACCTGTGGCCATATGGTTGATCGCTCCGCGTACGCCACGTGCCCAACCACATGGTCTCCGCTTTGGCGAAATTTAGGCGTGCTTCAGAATCGCGTTCATTAATATTAATGGTATCAAAGAGAGATGCCAACGAACGAATAGATTTAACAATACAGGTCGTATCATCAGCATATACCCCAACTTTATATCTTATTCCGCGTGCACCGAGCAAGAGAAAGCCTTCTATGGCGGGATTGTTTCGGATTTTACAGGCGAGAGTTTGAACACATAAAATATAGATCAAAGGGGACAGGGAATCCTCCTGTCTCACTCCGCGAGACAAAGGTATCGCTTTAGTTAACCATTCATTCACGATGACTTGCATGTTAGCACCATTATATAGTGTGCTAACCAAGTGGCAGAATGATGAAACAAAACCAAAACGGTTTAATAGATTCAATAAAAAGGTGCGCTTAACTCGATCGAAGGCTTTCTCTTGGTTGAGGCTGAGTTGAATGCCAATTTCGTTAGTGCGCTCAATATAGTCTAAAATATCCCGCAATAGGTATAGGTTTGACGTAATTTTCTGACCGGGCAAAGAACAGGTTTGATCAGGATCAACGATAATCTGTAAAACTTTAGAGAGACGGAGAGAAAGAGACTTGGAACACATCTTATAATCGACATTTAGTAAGGAGATTGGTCCCCAATTTTTAAGATCTTTGCGATCCCCTTTCTTGAAAATGACTCGGGTATTACTAGTTTTCAGAGACTCGCACATCTCTCCAGCTTGAGAGCATGCATTGAATACCTGGCACAGATATGGATCCAAACGGTCCCAGAACTTCGAGTAAAACTCGACCGAAAGGCCATCAGGGCCGGGAGCTTTGTTTGTGTTCATTTTATTCAGGGCGACAGTAATTTCCTCGAGTGTCAATTGACCTTCGCAAGAGGATGCCTGATCGGACGTGAGTTGACGAGACAAGAAATTATGTGTGTTAGTTGACATTCTGAATTAACTTCAATTTGCAATAAATGGTAAAACAAGAAAATGGATTCCATTTTGAAACGGCAGTGCATATTTCTGCTAACAAATTTATTTCAACCTAACTCAGTACAATTGGCAATGAACTTATACCTGCAGCATGCAGTTTTTTTTGTTACTCAATATCAGCGCAGTAGAGCTGGTGGGCCATAGATAAAAGAATAATTATTAATAGATATAAGAATATGAATAAAATTAATGATATTGTCAATGTGGGGCCTTATTTACTTAAATTCAACTTAACTTGATTTTTCCTGTACTTTGTACACGATGCTACCCTACGCTACACTATCCTACACTTCACTTAATGTGTGTATTAGATTCGCCGATAGGCAGGGACACCGCAACAGCTTACGCCAATTACTGCGGGCCCAGTAAACCCACCCATCCCACCTCACGGGAGGACATCCACCACACAGTAATCTCGTGCGTGGGAAATTAACGTCTCCTGCCCCTAACCCTACAGGAGACGGAGCCTACGGTTTATTCTTCCTTATCCGAGAAGACTAGAATATCTAACCATTTCTTGAACGATGTTATAGAAAGGTAGCATATTCTTCTCAATTATTTTAAGACCCCGAGTGTTAGTTCGGCCGGGGCTCGAACCCTCGACCTCCCGCACAACAGTCCGGCGCTCTAGCAATTGAGCTAACCAGGAGGTGGCTTGTTCACGGTGGCTTAACTCGTTCACGGCTCATCCATTAAACAGTATAAAATCATCTTTGGTCAAATATTTGTTTGATTAAAAGAGTTCAGGAGAGGACCGCCCTATATACCATCGTGCATGGCGAGTGAAATGCAAACTATGATAGGAAGCTCTGACTAAGGCTGGCCTTGCACCGTAATGCTTCGTCTCTTCGCCTTGTGAAATACTCAACATCTTTTATCTCTCGGTTTTCTCGAAAGAATAAAAGAAAAAAATGAATAAATAAATAGATAAATTGGAAACAAAGATAGGACATCTTACAAAAGTCGAAAGAGTGCTCAAACTCCAAATATCCTTAGCTATAACTGGACAACGTGCGCTGGATTTGCTCCCGATTGATATTGTAACCGTTGCAGGAACAAAGAGTTGAAATCAATTTTTTTGTGTTATATCATCTGATTGTTTTATTGTATACTAAAACAACTATTCTCCTTCGTGGGGGTGGCCAGTGGTGGATAAGTTTATGGCAAATATAGAAAAAATTTTCAATATCCTGGTAAAAAAGAGGCCGCCTTGTTTTTCGCTGAGAAGCTTGCACTCTTCACGAAAATGTATTCTCTCTTTTACCGGACCTTTCTGTGCAAAGTTTCATCCATGATGTTCTTGCCAGTAGCAATTAAATTGGTTTTGTAAGTGCTACCACACAGTCAATAATTTGTAATTGCACTCGGATCTTCTTGATAAGTTTGTAGTTCAAAACTCGTCTCGAACTCTTGTCTCAATTTTCGCATCTCATATCCCACGAGCCCCTGTGGAATTTCGGTCGTGTGAGTCCCATAGCAGCCTTATTTACCGAAGAAAAGGAAAGTT